ATATGATTTATATGGAAAATATTAATGCTCACCTTTTATATTCAGTATTTTTATCATGTATTTAATAACATGTGATTATATGTATCCAATTATATATGATTATATGTATTTAATCACATACGATTATATGTTATTAAGCACATATGAATTATGTGCACAAAGTTATATGTGTTTATGTGATGAAATACATTTAATCACATATGATTATACGTATAAATCATATATGATTGAATACATATAATCACATGTGATTAAATACACAAGACCAATTATTAAATCGAAAAAATGAAAATGAATATTGCCCACATAAATGATATGTGATTGAATACATATAATTACATATGATTATATGTATCTAATCGTATGTAATTTTATTTGGAAAAAAGATTCTTTTCTATATAAATCATATGTGATTCGATACGTATAATCACATGTGATTATATGTATTAAATCACATATGATTTATGTGGGCAATATTCATTTTCACGTTTTTGATTTAATAGTTGGTCTTCTGTATTTAGTCATGTGACTATATATATTTAACACAGAGTACCATAGATTTTAATATATATATATATATATATATATATATATATATATATATATATATATATATATAGACAGAGAGAGAGAGAGAGATGTAGGTTCATATGTGGATTGATAATTATTGTGTGGTCTTAGGAACCAATCAGACTTTAGCAAAAATTAAATTAATATTTCACATATATTAAATAAATACCAAAATTAAAATCCAATCATATCCCTACAAAATTGCAATCGATTTCTTATTTACCTATTCAAACAGAACCATCGTTACCACACCAGCAACGCCATCTCTTTCGGAAATTTAATCGTCGGCACCATCACCGATAAAGAGCACCTCCAGCTGTCGAACAGGAGGTTGGGAACCAACTCAAGTTCTGTCTGATATTTAATTGATCTTTTCCTTGTTATTGTGGCACCACTATCAGAAAAATCAATTTTCTGTAACACCTTCTGTGAAGGGTTGTTTAATTTTCAACACATATTTTTTATTCCAAAATAAACGAACTATAGCCCAAAATCCAAATTGTAAGTGGCTTCACTATAGTTTTGACTTATAATTTATCATGAATCCTTTTGGATATGTTATATGAACAGAGATCTTGTTCCAATATATGGGAAATTTCTTGTTTTTTTTTTAATTAGATTTTTTTATTTGTGGTGGACAATAGCATTGTTTGAAATTGAAAGAATTGATGCATATAAGTTTTTTGAAGTAGTTGATTGTGAGTTCTTTGAATTAATTTTTTTTTGTGTCCTTTTTTCTTTCTTCAGAGGGATGTTATTGTGACTTGGGTGAAGAAGAAGATTGGTCCTGGTCTACACAATTTGACTACAAACGAGGAAGCAAAAAGCATACTGTTCGACGAGTCCCAACAGTTATGGCGTTTGTAGAAAATTTGTTGGTATATCTTCTTTTACAATTGAGATTTTCGATTTAAAATTTCAATTATTATCAAGTTTAAAATATTGTTCCCTCAATCTCATAGTAAATATAACATTAAAGGGTTTGTTTTTTGTCAAATATCTACAAAAATACAGTTATATAATGATTTTAGTTTTTTTTGCTTTTGTGTAGGGTCAAGCTAGTGAAGTACTTGTTGCAACTTCAAAACAAAAAGAAATAAAACATTGAAAACCATAGTATATTCTATTAGAATGTATAAAGAGCTTATTAGTAACAATATTCTTTTAGAATAAATATGGTTTTTGTTAAATTTTGATTTTTTTCCCTTTGTTAACCATTCTTAGTTTTAATTTTTTTTGAAAAAAAATGTAATTATTAACCAATTTTTTGTTATATGTTTTTTTTTTCAGAATGAATGTAATTATTGTTAATAGTCATATTCTTTAAGAATTAACATAATTAGTGATTCTTACAAAATAAAATTTGTTTCATGTAACATGTGTATTCTTTAAAAATTGTTAATTTTAATAATATATGTTGTAGAATTATTTAAGCATGTTAATTCAAAAAAATATCTTAAATGAAATTACTATTCTATAAAAATAAAATCGAAAATATATTTACTAGTTTATGGCTGATATTTTTTAATTCTCACAGAATAAAATCTATTATGGATAAATATTATGTTATAATTGAAAATGAATTAGTTTAAAAAATCAGGATTTCAAATTACATAATTAATTATCCATTAAATTTCAATTTTTCCTTATATAAACACAATTTAAATGACTAAAATACCCTTACAATGAAGTTTGTGTGGTTATATGGAACATGTTATGTCATTGTAATATTATAGACCCTTAAATCATAGCTTCTTCATTCTATTCATCCATTGGTCTGGAATCGTGTTTACGACCGTACAATAGATGTCATCCACATTCTAACCTATATATATATATATATATATATATATATATATATATATATATATATATATTAATCCTTTAAGTAATATTACTTATTTTTAAGATTAACATGTAATAATGTAATATAAATATTTTTAACAAATAAATAATCATATCCGGTTCACACAATATATGTTATCAAATATACATTTATCAAATATTCCAGTTAATAAAAATTTAATTGACATATAAACTTTCAACATATATTTAATAGTTTTTAAAAGCTACATGTTTTAAATTGTGTTCATGAAAGTAATTATACAATCACCTGATTTAGGTGGAAGATTCACAGGAAAATCAGCTCTTTGATTGAATCTTCAGATTTCACTTAAAAATGACCTAAATACAAATGTTATTAAGCTTTAGTATTCATTCGTATTTATAAAGTTTAGTTGTTATAATATTTATAAATAATCCCAGAAGAATACATGCATATAACATATAAGGAACAAACCGGGTACGATCGTAACAGAGGTATGTTCATAATCTACATTAAACACCTCATAGATCTAGCATACATATCACTTCTGTAAGTAGATCGATCAGTATAACGAGTGATATTACTGATTATTCTTATTTATTAGTTCATAATAAAGATTACGAACATAAATATAAGTTATACTTAAATTACGATAAGCATAACTCAACTTACAGGTTGTTTAGCGAAAATCTTGAAAAGTTTCAGACATAAAGTTGACTCCGAAACTTATTTTCATCGGTCTCTTTGACGTTCCAGAACCTCGCTAAAGTATTCTAAGAACTTACGTCGTACATGGAATGAAAGAAATTTTAGAGAGGATTTGGAGAAAATTTGAGCAAGAATGAACAAAAATCAGATTTGTATTTATAGGCATCATGCCTCAAGCTTAAGCACTAAGTTTGCTTCGCATGTTTTGCATACGAGCTTCGTTTTTATGTTCTTTATATCCCCGACTTTGTATCTACAAATACTATAATTTAAACTCCTTCAGCTAATTCTCGTTTTATTTTAAATTTACAAATCTGTAAATATTACACTGCGAAAGACGCTCCATATCAACCTTAAGGACCAAGTTTCTTTCGTATCTTTCTCTTACGAACTCCATTTTCGACATTATTTATATCATCGGTTTCGTATCCGAGAGTATAACAACTTTCATTTAGAATGTTTTGTCTAACAAGTCTCTATCTCACTTTTTATGACACATACATTGTATCGTGTCGAATGCGAAACTTCAAAAAATCATTAACTGTTTTATACAAAGTTAGATCTAAGCGTTCTTTATATCCTGGTGCTCATGGTTACGGTCTCTATGACTTTCATTAAAATAATTTATCTTAAATAATATTTTATTTTTACACTTTATTTTATCGTTTAATGATAAGATTTATATAAAGGTTTTCTATAAATATTATATAATATTAATATTTGTTTATATATATATATATATATATATATATATATATATATATATATATATATATATATATATATATATATATATATATTAGCTTGGAATGCGTACGAAGAATAATTACTCTATTTAACAGTTTTAATTATTCGATAAAATGTATAATTATTATTATTATACTTTAAACATTTAATCCGAATTTGCAGATGTTACATATGCCTTTGAAATCGCTATATGGGTTTCTTCACATAAATTTGTTCTTATTGGAATTACTTATTTGGATCATTAACATGCAGGTGACTTTCTAACACGGAACAATATATGATTTGCAGCAAACCAAAAGACTAAATTCCCTTTTAAAACTTATGTAAAAATATCAAACTGATTTTTATTTATTATCTTGTCATGAGTATTGATATCGTCTACTCTTCCAACAACCAAGAAAACTCCAACAATGAATTTTTAACAAACTTATAGAATACAATCCTAATTTTAGGTGGGAGACCTATTGGATTTAGTATAGAAATTTTTATTAATCTTTGTGTAGGCTTCATCTATCCTAATCCCTCTCATATGTCTAATCAAAGGCATAACTTCACCAACAAACTAAACATGTTTAAGAAGACGATGATTTGTAATTTTCTATAAATTTTTGTACATAGTGTCTGGCTATCATTACGATGGCTAAATTCGTCAACTTGTTTTGCAAGGTATTTCGATTTTTGTTTGTTTTGTGAATCTGATTAGTAATTTTGGTTATTTCATCTCTTGACTATTGATCATAAAAGGTTTATTTACTCTTTTAATGCTGGATAGTCATAATAATTGATCATTTTTCATGAATAATTTAATAGGATACCATTATACTCAAACGTCCAAAAAAGTATTTGCGGGGACTGAAGTTTTTGGTGTTAATATGCGCAACGGTATTCTATGTTTATACATATTATATGTATTCAAATCATATATACAATGGAAAAAAGATGGAACATGTAGACTTTCAAGTAATCAAGACATCCCATCATAACAATGTCCTTGATCGGTCTTCAAACACTTACTTGCACTATCTGAAACCCAAACCTTTTAACAGGTATAATCTTTATACTTTTTTCTAATTTTTGGTACGTATATAAATATATAAATACCTTTTGTAGGTTTACTAGAAACCCTGTGCGATTTTTTGTCATTATGTCAATGCAAAGATCAGGAAGCGGTTGGTTTGAAACCCTATTGAACAATCATAGGAATATAAGCTCGAATGGTGAGATATTTGGTCAGAAGAACAGGAGACAAAATCTTTCATCGATTATTAATACCCTCGATAGGGTTTACAGTTTGGATTTGATTACTCGTTCATCCAAGAACGGTTGTTCAACAGCGATCGGATTCAAATGGATGCTTAATCAGGTAATATTTGATCTTTGTATTTATCATTAGATGTTGATGTTATCAGAAAACAATCTTGATGATGCAGGGTTTGATGGAACACCGTAAAGAGATTCTTCATTACTTCACTAAGAGGGGTGTTTCTGTTATTTTCTTCCTGAGAAGAAATATGTTACGTAGATTGGTTTCTATTCTTGCTAATTCATTTGATAAACATGCGAAGCTTCTAAATGGCATGCACGTATCTCATGTACACTCGCCTAAAGAGGTACATAACACTTTTATGTTTTTCAATGAGGAATCTTGTTATTGGAAAATCGAGTACATTTATAGATGACTCTTTTGCTAGTTTTTTAACAAAAGGTTGTTGCTAGTCTAATTTTTGTGATGGATCGAATCCGTTGCAGATGAGTGATATTGAGTGGTTTGTTCAAAATTTCCTATTAAAGTACATTAAAATTTTCAAATGAATCGAAACTTCAAGGAATTGTGATCTATTGCACATTTGGTTGGCAGAACATTTGAATGAAATTTAATAAAACTGGATACTCTTATAAAAATCAGTATTTTAGTCTTTTACTAAATAAAAAGGAATGATGAAAATTTTCATACATAAATGAAAGAATCCTCGATAGAAGTGAATTACGTAATTTAGCAACAAAAAATCAAATACCAAGTCCATTAAATTTTTTAGGAATCCATGAAACAAACACACCTTAAGGACACACCAAATACATACTTGTGATATTTATCATATGCATTCATGATCATGTTATGGTTTTCATTATGTTTAGGCTTTGACATTGTCAAAATTCAAACCCACGATCAACGTAAGTTCGTTGGAATCAGATTTGGATGAGATGGAATCAATCGCTATAAAGGCGCTTGACTACTTCAATAGTACAAGACACATCATCGTGTATTATGAAGATCTCGTCAAGAACCCTTATGTAAGTATATACTTGTTGTATCTCTACATCTCCATGTGTTGATCTTGGAACTCTTCTTGAGTCAACTTTATTATTGTTATAGAAACTGATACAAGTAGAAGACTTTTTGGAGCTACCCCGAATGGAATTAAGTAGCCGACAGGTAAAGATACACAATGGACCCTTGTCAGAACATATTAAAAATTGGGAGGATGTCAAGAAGTCTCTTACCGGAACACCGTATGAGAGATATCTTAGAGTTGACTACTGATTGATGCATCATAAATTTATCCTGATGTCGTTGGTTTATTGATTTTTGAAGATTTGTATGAATGTAGTGGGGTTGTTATATTTTGGTTTTAGCTCACTAATTATGGTGTTGTTGGTCTAAATATTTAAGTTAGAATGATCACTATCCACTCAATTGAAAAAGATGAATATAATTATTCAAATCCTTGGAAAGAAGTTACCATGGCAACTTAATTGAAATTTTGCGTACGATACTACAAGAAAAGGAGAATTAACCTACAAGTTAAAGTATAAGGAAAATACACATTTGAAAAACTACCCAATATATCCTTGAATATGTTCATTTAACAAAATGATGCTCTCATTATTCTAACATTCTCCCTTAAACGCACAATATGAACCGAAAAAGCATAGATAGTTTGTTAATTTACAAGGAAAACAAAAATGAAAAATGAAATTAATCATACTTGGTAAGTCCGCAAGTTGCATGGAAGAAGGAACATACACTATATATAAGGTAATTGTCCCAACCTTTAGCCGATCGATAACACTAAAATGACAATCGATCTTAAAATGCTTTGTGTTCTCATGAACAATTAATTAGAATATGTTACTTCTGTTGTCACAATACATAGGGGTGTGATGATTAAGAGGAACATGCATACAGATAAGATTGTTCAGTGGGATCAAGACCATCATATGCATAAAAGTATCCATACAACTCCAAGTAAGATGAAACATCCCAAAAATACGGACCAAAAATTTTGTTTTCAAACAATTATTAAAATCATAAATCATCCAAAGTCATATGTAAAATCGTGAATCATGTATCATAAAACCAGGGCCGGTCCAAACATATATGAGGCCCAGTGCGAAAAGAAAAAAAAAGGGCCCCTTAAAGATAAATATAATAAAGAATAAAAAAAATGTCATTTATTTTTCACTATAAACGCGTTGAATTAACAATAACAAACAAGCCAAATTGTTTATCTTTTGAGCTAGTTTGAGTTTGAACGAACTTTAGGCCCTAGAAATTATTTAGATAATAATTTTTTATATATATAAACTACATAGCCCATACATTTTGAGCCCCCAAAAGATGTGGGCTCTGGGCGGTTGCCCGGGTTGCCCACCGTTTGGACCGGCCCTGCATAAAACATCATAGTATCTGTCACAAATGAAAATCTCATAAAAAATCATTAGAGTGAACTCCTAGGCTAAGACTGTGGAGAGTGCCATGCGATCATCCCGAGCCCTTCCCTTTCCTAGTGGAAGTAACTAAAACCAAAACCTAAAATTGTAAACATGAAGCTTTAGTGAGCTCCGCCAAACTACCACATATCATACACATATAACATGAAACTAGGAGATATGGGCCCCACCCACACTCATGGAGATACGGGGCCCGCCTACACTCCGCTAACTAGGAGATACGAGCCCCACCCACACTCCGCTATCTCTAAGTTACGGTCCCTGCCCACACTCAGCAACTTCGAGATACGGGCCCCACCCACACTCGACCGCTAGACAAACATACAAGTATCATACAGACAACAAGTATAACGAATCTATCATTCAGATATATATCATAATCAACTCAGCTATGAGATATGGGCCCCGCCCATACTCAGCTACTGACATAACATGCTATGGCTCAGTCTTGGCACCTTAGACTCGTTCCTGCTGAAGGGGAAACTCACCTCGTATGACTGACTGCTAAAAACCTGAGCGATGAATCCTTGTTTGCTGCTCCGGTAACTCTCCGGCTATAAATTCCATAATGACACTTAGTCAGAAACTGATAACTATTCTTAGGGTAAAATGACCATTTTACCCCTGGTCAAAGTCAACATCCTAGAAAAGGTCAACCTTCCAAGTTGACCAAACTCGCTGAGTCAGCCTTGTGACTCGCCGAGTCTTAGAACTCAGAACCCTGGAAATCGTGACTCGACTAGCCGAGTCACCCCATGACTCGTCAAGTTCCCAACCTACTTGTCATCACGATTTGTCGAATTGACTCATCGATTCATCCTCAGACTTGTCGAGTCCTGGCATAATCAAAAAAAGGGACAAGATCCTCCTACTCGCCGAGTCCTATGAACATCATCGAGGTTTCTTCATCGGACTCGCCGAGTTCCCTTATGAACTGGTCGAGTCCCTTGCAGATCTAACCTAGTTAACTGGTTTCACACTTCTATAATTCCAAAATATCGATCTAGGTTATTTCCATGGTCCATTTCTATAAAGTTGGAGACTTGATGGCTTTGCACACCTCATATGGACCCAAACTCAATTTATAACAACCTACTTCCATGAACATGACCATGGCTTGCATGAAAACGGATTCAATACTCCTTTTATGACTCTAGAGGCTAAATATTATAGGAAAGAGGGATTGCTTAGCATACAACCCATGATAAGCACTTATCCTACTCAAAAGGGTCAAAAAGACTCACAAATCAACATTAAAGGAGATCTAAGCTATAGGTTATCAAGCTAAGAGCTTTTTACCTCAGAAAGCTGCCAAAGATGAATGTACTCCTGGATCTTGTTCCTCTTCCACAATCTTTCTAGCTCCAAGATCTTCCAACTATCTTCAAAAACACAAAAACACACTCTAAGTTTCAAGGTTGAAGCTCTCAATCGGATTAGGGTTTCTGGAAGGCAGTGAGGCTGGTAAGGGAGCCCCAAAGGGGGTTTAAGTGGATTAAATACGGTGCAAAAACCTGCAAATAGGGTTTCCTCTTGGAATACCTACTCGTCGAGTCCATGCTTGGACTCGCCGAGTAGATTCTTTAAACCCCACGTCCTTTCTGGCATCTACTCGATGAGTTAAGGCTACCAACTCATCGAGTAGCTCAAAAATAAATGCTTGATTAAATAAATAATTGTGTACCAGGACCGGGGCATTACAATTATCCCCCACTTGTATTAGAATTCATCCTCGAAGTCTACTGTATCTGAAAATAACTTTGGGTAGTGCTCCCTCATCTCCTCCTCGAGTTCCCACATCCACTCCAAACCCTTGCGGTGCTGCCACTGCACATTCACTAGCTCGACACTCTTTTTCCTCAGCTCCTTCATCTTGTGATCCAGAATTGCCACTGGTCTCTCTATGTAATTCAAGCTGTCATCAACCTGAATATCCTTTATGAGTACCACTTCTGAATCATCCATTAAGCACTTGCATAGCTGGGAAACGTGGAATGTGTTGTGGATCTGGCTGAGCTTTGCTGGAAGGTCTAACCGGAAAGCAACCCGACCCACCCAGGCCAAAACCCTAAACGGACCAATAAACCTAGGGCCTAGCTTGCCCCACTTCCGAAACCTAATAACACCCATCCAGAACGACACTTTCAGGAGGACCATGTCGCCCACCTGAAACTCCAAATCCGAACACCGCTTGTCGGCGTAACTCTTCTGCCGACCCTGAGCAGCCTGGAGCCTGCTCCAGACCTGCTGAATCTGCTCCGTGGTCTTGTGTACTATCTCCGTACTCCCCATGACCCTCTGACCGACTTCACCCCAACAGATTGGGATCCTACACTTTCTCCCCGTAAAGCATGTTGAAAGGAGGTCGGTCTATACTGGAGTGGTAGTTGTTGTTATACGAAAATTTCGATAACGAAAATTACGTATCCCAACTGCCCTCGAAATCTAACGCGCATGATCGAAGAATGTCCTCGAGAGTCTGAATCGTCCTCTCACTTTGTCCGTCCGTCTGGGGTGGAAAGTGGTGCTGAAGTGGAGACAAGTACCCCATCTCTTTGTGAAACCACTTCCAAAACCTAGAAGTAAAGCGTACATCTCGATCTGACACCACCAAGAGAGGCACCCCATTACGTATCACTACCTCCTACACATAAATATTAACCAACTTCTCGGCCGAAATGCTCTCCTGGATCGGTATGAGGTGAGCTCTCTTGGTCAACCGATCTACGATGACCTATATCGAATCCACCCCACGTGCGGTCCTGGTAAGCTTAGTAATGACATCCATAGTGATATCCTCTCATTTCCACACGGGAATGTGTAACGGCTGCAGGTCAGGCATCTCTCTATGTACCAAGCTATGTCCCACTTGATGCAGGGCCACTAGTAGTCTGGGCAAAGATCCCGGTACATTTTCGTCGCTACCGGATTAATGGAGAACCTGGACTTGTGGGCCTCATCCATCAAAACTTGTCACACTCTGCCCCAGTACGGCACCCAGACTCTCCCATGCAGGGTTAACAGCCCCCTGCTGTCGTGATAAAAGGAGGCCACTTGGCCTGTAATCCTCTCACACTTCCGGCGCTCCTACTTCAGGCCCTCGACATGCACCTCTCGGATCTGATCTAGTAGTGGAGTAATCATTGCCATCCTCAAACAGATATCTCGGATCGGCACCGCTGCCGCTTTGTGACTCAAGGCGTCAGCCACTACGTTGTCCTTGCCCAGCTGGTAAAGGATCTCACAATCATAATCCTTAACCACGTCTAACCATCGAAGTTGACTCATGTTCAGATTTGGATGATCCATGAGGTACCTCAAACTCTTGTGGTTCGTGTAAACGGTATACCGGACCCTGTAGAGGTAATGCCACGAAATCTTGAGGGCGATCCCCACAACCCCCAGCTCTAAATCATGTGTCGGATAGTTAGCCTCGTGTTCAACTATCTCAAGGCATAAGCTATCACATGACCTCGTTGCATCAACACTGCTCCCATACCTGTGATCGAAGTATCACAGTAGACTACAAAGTCATCTACTCCCTATGGCATGGTGAGAATCGGCGCCTCGCACAATCGATGCCTGAGTGTCTCAAAGGCTAGCTGCTACTCAGGACCCCAACGAAACACCACCGACTTCTTGGTCAGTCGAGTCAACAAAACTGCTATCTTAGAGAAGTCCTGGATGAATATCTTGTAATACCCTGCCAGACCCATGAAGCTTCGAATATTAGTTGGAGACCTTGGAGACTCCCACTACATCATGGCCTCTATATTGGACAGATCTACCAAAGTACCCTTCTGGTTTACA